GGAGCGCGCACCGCCTCGCCGCCCTTCCTACCCTCTTCCGTGGGCCTCTCGTCTGCGCTTGGCTCTGGCGACTCCGTTCTGCTAATCCTCTGGCGGTTTTCTGGGTTATTTAGGCAGGTGTAGGTGGAATCTAAGTGATCAGCAGGACGCGCGGTGAGCCCAGCGTCCTCCTACGCCGCCATCTTCCCTCTCTCCAATCCTAGCTATTTTTAAATCCCAATCAGTTTATTTCAATTCCTTGACTGTCTGTGGGTCTGTTTTTATTGATTGATTTTACTTCTGAGTGTGGGTAACATTTTCTTGTAGAGTGGGTAATTTATGTGTCATTTCGACATTCCACAGAGCACTCAAATTAAACATTATTTCTGCATGTGTCTGTGAAGGTGTTTTTGTGTGAGATTAACATTTAAATTGGTGGACGCAGTGCAGTAGATTGCCTTGCCCAATGTAGGTAGGTGACATCCAAGTCACTAACGGCCTGAATAAAACAAAAGACGGAAGGAGGAATTTGCCCCTTTTTTCTGACTTATCCCTTGAGCTGGGGCATCTAATTTCATTTTCTCTGATTCTTGAACTGGACTTCTACGATAGATTCTCCTGGTTCTCAGACCTCTGGACTGAAGCTGAATTACACCACCAGCAATCCTGGGTCTCCAGCTTGCAGATGGCAGACTGTGGGCCTTCTCAGCCTCCATATCACATGAACCAATACCTCAAAATAAACCTCAATAAACATATACAGACATAGATATACAGTTGGCCCTTGAACATCATGAGGGTTGGGGTGCCAACCTCCCACATAGTCAGAAACCTATATATAACTTTGGTTTCCCAAAAACTTAACTATTTAGTAGCCCATTGTTGACCAGAAGCTATACTGATAACATAAGGCATCTGTTGTATGTTATATGTATTATAGTTGTATTCTTACAATAAAGTAAATGACAGAAAAGAAAATGTTATTAAGAATACTGTAAGGAAGAGAAAATACATTTATAGCACTTTACTATAAAAAAAAATCCACATTTAAATGGACCCATGCAGATCAAATCTCTGTTGATTATCAACTGTAGTAACAGAAAATGGATATTATGGTTCTATTTCTCTGGAAAATCTTGACTGATACACTTTGGATTTTTTTGCATATTTAGTAATTTTTTTTTGCATGCTGTCTTTGTAAATGATTTATATCGTAGGGACTCTGCATTCTGTTACCTTCCTCTGAAGAATGTTGTATTTTGTGCTCAAATAGTTAATATAGTAGAGGATCACACTGGTCTTATGAAGCCTTTTTTTTTTAACTTATTCATATATTCATTTCACTTTTATCCTCAGTGCCAGAGCAAAACTGAGCCCTGTTAACATGGCCAGAAGTGTTCCAGTACCACAAGGGTTCACCTTCTGGTACTTGAATAGAAGACTTATATTTATCAAGCTCCTCAGAGTTAATGGAACTCTAATTCCTAACTCAGTCTCCACAGCAATAGGAAGCTACTGAAATCTCTACTCCCCTCTTCAACTTTCCAGATACTGTTTTTCCCTGGGATCCTTGAAATCTTGCTTTGCACAGGCATATTTTAGTGGTTACCCAAGAATTTGGGAACACTTTATACACATATTTTGAGGCTTCCACCTCAGACATTCCCTCCATTATGGGACTTCCCCACTCTGGCATCCCAAAACTCCTTCCTCTGATATCTCAAAAACTGTGATTTCCTTACTGAGGATGCCGCCACCCCCACATCCTGCAGATGAAGAGTGTTTAAAAGGGAAAAATTCTATAAATGCAGATTTAATCTTTCTTGCAAGAGCCTAATTTCCTTAAGTTTCTGCCTGCTTTTGGTCATTCACCAATGCTTTCCAAACATTGTTTTTTATATTATGTCCAGAGTTTATATAATTGTTACTGGCAGGAGGTTTATTTCAATATAAACTTTTCTGTCACTAACAGAAGGTGAAAAGCTATATTCTGAAGATTTTCTCTCATAAATACCTTTGGAATATCTTTATCTTTACTGTCTCTATCCTCCTGAAGGCAATACTCATCTCTTATGAGGATTAATATATTACCACCTCCATATTTGTTCCCCCTCAAAGAGAGTGATCATCCAAAAATGGAACCTTGATGTTACCGCCATGCTTAAAACCATGCAACACCTTCCCATTGGTCTCTGCTTAAACACCAAACTCTTTGAATTGGCTTCAATGGTTCATATTACTTGGTCCACTAATACATCAGTTATAAACCCCTTGATCATTACATTCCAACCAAAGTAAACTCCTTTACATTTCATAAAATATGCCATGAACCCCTGATACCTGAAATTTCACACTGTTCCCTCTGCCTGGAACATTACTCCTTCTCTTCATTTGACTAATATTATATCACTTCTTAGGTCTTTACATTTTCTGGTATATTTTCTCATGGATCCATTATATTATACTAGGGTGTCTGTTTTGTATTTCTACAGTACCCATAAGTAGTCGTTTCACTTATAAATACTGTTGTTACTTGTATTTTGTCTAACAGGCTGTAAGCTCTAGTAAGGCATGAACAGTGTCTTCACTACTGAGTACTATAGAGTGACTTCCACAGTACCTGACTTCTAGTTACAGCACAATAAATGATTAATAAACTCATAAATTAATGACTATAACCAAGTTTTAACACAACCTGAATCTCCATTGATAATTTCATAACTTAAATGGCAAGGGCTAACAGCTGAGCAGCATTGTTTACCAATTATCTCAAATAATAAGACACAAAAATGTCACCAATACACTTTGAATATCAATTGCCATTAACAATTCTGTTTGACATATCTTAAAAACAGCTTTTAATATTTGCCTTCTAAGATGTCCAATTATTATAAAAATATTTTTGTGACTAATCCAAAACTTCCCTTGCCCAAATCAAAAAAGTATTATCTTTTTGAATATATAGTAACTATTTTAATTTTATTATTTTTAATGTTAATATTTAATATATTAATATATACAAAATTAGAAGACTATCTTTGTTATAGATTGTAGCCTTATGTCCAAAAGGGGTTGCAATGTAACCTCTTCTGATATAAAGTTTTTAAAATAACAGATTATACAACTATTTAAAATCTC